GTTCTGGTCGACGGTTCCACGATGCGCATCACCATGCTTTGCATCTTTTCGATCTGTTGACTTTACGTCAACTCGAATGAAATAATGGATCAATCACTGATTTAATCAGTAACATTTATTACATAGGGGTTCGATTACTAATCAATATTTTCTTTCACTCTTACTCAATACGAAATTACGATGTACGTATGGGGCAAGACTAAATGATAACGACGAACGATATTAACGGGTATACTACGAAAATACGAACTACGGGTACAAAGATAAACGATTCTGACAGTAAAAGGGAGCTTTTAGAGACTACAACTTCTACTACACACTTTGAAGTTTTTGAACTCCAAGAGTTGTGTTTCAAATCGAACTCCCAAGAGTTCTCCTTTATTTTAAAGAATATATATATTTGTTTTTACATACGTAACATAATACCAATAATTCTTACTAGGAATATGGATAATTATAGTGATTATCCTACGTATTTTGAGGAGTCTGTTGATCATATTAATATCAAGAATTCTGTGAATTCTTAGGATTTTCGGAATTTGGAAAATTTCCAGAATTCGTACTACATAGAAAACCGCTGCACTTCCGAGATGGTAACTTACCTGTTTACAACCTACAGTATAGAGCCTTAAAATTAGTTTCCCAGACCATTGATTCAGGTCAGCTAATCAGACAAAGGTCATCTTTGAGAATTGATTAAAATAAGATTAAATTTTTTCTTTAAAGCTTTGTACAGTAAAGCCTCTCTCTATAAGTGCACGTTTTCGTGATCAAACTTTAATAACATTCACTTAGAGAATAATAAGAAAAAGTGCATTTCTAGAGATCATTCGTATATTTGAGTCAGAATTTGGGCATGCATTTAAAGAGGATACGTAAATAAAAAATTAGTGTAATAGTTAATATTCACAAACTTAAAAAGCAGACATTTTTGTTGCTTATCGAACATAAGATCTTAATTGTGGTTTTCTTAGGGCTATTACTTATACAGCATATAACATTTATAGACACACGTAAGTGTTTTTTGAATCAGGGTTGTGGTCTTTGTCTTAAAATAATACGCATGCAAGTGCCATTTTGTAAAACCAAATTAGATGCATTAAAACAACACTATTTTATTGAATTTATTGTGCTGCATTTTCTTGATGCTTTGACACATTACAACAGTTTTTTTTTATTGTTCTTGCTTTCCATTTAACAATAGTTACAATACGACTTTTTTTGTTCGGATTCTTTTTTGTTAAAGTAATAACTGCAGATACGAAAAAAAGAAGTCTAATAAACGAACATTAAATATACCTCTGCCATAATTCAAAAAAAGAATTTTAACAATCACTATTGTTCTAATTTTTATTTATGAATTATGGCATGTTACGAACGGATCAGGCCCATTCCTATTTAATCTTCTAAAATTTTCTATACGTCAGTTGCTCATGTCAAAATTTATACCTACGCTTAATTTTGACTAGCGCAATAGTTAATCTAACCCTGTTTATTTTTTTTGAATAACCAAAATAAGTTTAGTATGCAGTGTAAGTTGCTTGGCTAGAAATAGCTTTGCATGTAGCATTGTCTATACTTATTCATATGTATCTACAATTGACCCTTGATATAAGGAAGTTTCTGAAACTAGTCAAAATCTTTCAAATATCAAGATTTTTTTATATTATAGGCTTTTATTATAAAACTCTCGATTGAAACTTATAAAGCTTTTCTTATATCGAAAGTCTTTTAAATCGAAGGTATTCATACCTTATGTCGGTATTATGTTAACAAAAAAAAGAGTCATTCTTTCTGCTGCGCAAAAATATGATATTTGTAAGGAAAAAGAAATGAATCAAAATATTAAAAATGTAGATCTTGCAAATAAGTATAATGTCAGAAAGTCAACAATAACGGATATTCTAAAAGAAAAAGAACATTGGTTAGCCATTACAATTGAAGAAGAAGGTGAAATAAAAAAATTTCGTGGGCCAAAATGGCCAAAAATTGAAGAAGCTCTTGGTCTCTGGGTAGATAATGCGCTTAATAGTGGTCAAGA